CTGGCCCTAGCAGCGCTGCACAAAGGTGGTCTCTGCCGAGGATGAGGATCCAAGCACAACAGCAGTTGTCTCCAGGACTTGCTCCTCACCTGCTGGCAGAGGGGGGCCCTGATATGCATGACTCCAGTTTGCCCACTACCCACAGCCCCAGCAGACCAAGGGCAACAGCAGATGCTGGGACAACAGTTGGGACAACAGCTGCAAAAAGCCAATACTTCCACCAAAGCCCCAGTTCAAGTCTGCAGTCATTTAAACTACAGCAACGCTAGGAAGATTCCTGTTCCCTCTAAAATAATGCGAGCCTTCATCAGCAAAGAGCTTTTAAGCCATCCCTGCCTTTTATGTTATTTCATTCTTAGGTCTTGGAGGAATCCCAGCCTATTTCTGTCCCTGGAGACCCCTGCCCTTGCAAAGCTGGGGCCAGCCGATGCTCCACGCATAGAGGACAAGGACTGAGCCCAGGAGTTTGCTCATCTCCCCCAGCGCCCTTTCAGAACAACGTGACCAGACAGACCTGCTCGCAGAGCACTGCTGCTTCTCAGAGGCTCCATGAAAGCTCACGCACACGCTGCTAACGGAGGCAGCTACCCTATAATAATCTGCCATCCGTATCATTACCATTAATTATATATTAACAAACCCCATAATCTTAACTGTTGTTACAGTCATATCTCGGGGGGTGGGAGCTGTTTTCAAAAGCCACCTGACTAGTTCTCCTTTGGCTTTTACATCATCCACCATGTGAGACAGACCAGGAGGCCACCGCAGGACATGGATCCTTGCAAACTGCTCCAAGATTTAAGGCTAGGACAGGGCTGGAGTCACTTGGGAAGGCACTGATCTCTGAGCAGGCCCGCGCTCCCAAGGGGCTCCAAGAGCACCTAGCACATTATGCAGAGCTGAGGAAACCAGAAGTGCCAAGCGTTAGTGTCTTGAGCAATTCCCTTCCAGCGCTAGGTTTCATTCTTGCAACACCAGGGAGCTTTGCACAGCAGTACCTGCCTGCACGTCCATGACGGTGCTTTTGATGCACATGACACAGGGTGAGACCTGGATGCATATGAGAGGTGGCATCAGGAACCCTTGCTGTGGGTGGCACAGGGGCTCAACTACCTTGCTGTTCATGCAGCACATTGAAAGGACAGCTCGTCCAGACCAGATCTTCAGGTACTGGAGAAGTTCTCCAGGTCTCTGCACATTCCCCTTTCCCTGTGCCACCCACAACAATCCCACCAGCTGGCAGGAAGAGTCTCAGCATTCCTCTCCTCACGCTTGCTCCAGCCTAAGAAAGTCCCCTGCAGAGCAGGGCACAAGCAACCCTTAAGATTATTCCATGGGTCAAAGTGAATTTCTCCTTTCCCCAACAGTACATGAGTCAGGGAAATCAGAGAGAAAGCAATATGAGGCAGGTAACCAGTCCTGCCTCTTGCCCTGGCAGCCCTGAGATGTCATACGCTCTCACCTCCATCCCATGGAAGGGGCTGCTTTGAGCCCCTACAATCACATAACCACGAGGCCAAGTCCCAGTATCAGGAGCATATCCTGAACTAGGGACAGTCACACTGGGGCTGGTTATTCCTACCTATTAGCACACTCCAGCTCTCTGACGGCTCGCCAAACAGTCACATGCCCAGAGCCCTGGTGCTTCACAGCCCTAAGGGGCAGAGCATGCCCTGGTCCCGTGCCCGTGGTGCTGTTTTCACACCACTGTCCCACCATTGTCCCTGCGTGAGAGGGAGAACAGTGCCAGTGCCCAGTTTCCTGCACTGTGTCCTCAGCACGGGCTAGGAGAGCCCAGACCCGAAGCCCTACCTACACCCAAGGTAGCTTGTACCCAATGTGTCTCGATTCTCACGGAGGGAAACGGCACAGCATCCTTGCTAAGATGTGCCTTCAGAAAGAAAACAAGAATTGTCCAGAGACACAGCTTTCACCGTTTCATCTCGAAGGCAGCACATCACCTTCCATTCATGATACAGTTTAAGCCAAGAAAAGCAGGAGACAACCCTCTTGATTGCTCTACCCTTAAGCTGCAGCTGTTTCATGTGGTTGCAACGCCTTTCGTACAGCAGTTAGCACTTTCAAAGAAGCACTTGCATGCACACACACACACACACAACACAATTAATGAATGTCCTACCTCCCACTGTGTGTGTTCTGACACTGCTGCGTTTGCCAAAAAGAAAAAAAAAAAAAAAAAGCGTGTGTATGCACACACAAACAGAGGCTTTAAAGAGGACGTTGCTTGCCTTTTTCGGCTTCATTGAAACTTTTCTGCATGAAAGCCTAAAGCAAATATAATCCAGAGAAAGGCAATTTTTTAATCGTTACTACTTGACTTGCATGCGTAACACCTGTAGAGCTCTGACACTCCCCAGGGAACGTGCTTTACAGCAACTGTTTCAGACTGAAAAAAAGCAATTGCTCAGAAAAAGCGTTGCTACCAGCTACTATTATACAACCTGCTAACATGAATGTTCTTTTAAGAAGGGAGAGGACTGAGTCTTTGAGGGAAGCCTATTACCGTATTGAAATGGCAGCCTTACAAGCTAGAACTCTAAGATGTCCTCAAGTTGTAAAAAGCAGTTTGAGCATCGAAACCCTAGCAGAGAAAGCCTGCAACGCTATCTGCCAGGCACTGCAGGAAAGGCCTGACAGCCTCTGCACAGACCCAGGTTATACAACACTCCTTTTGAGATAATGCATGCTGTGCACAAGGATTCAGTGTATTGTGCGATAAGAATAATGAAGTTTTCTTCTGAGCAGTACAAACAGAGATGCTAATGCACTGACTGCAGTGCCCCACTTAAGCCTCTCTATAAAGCAGAAATACCAATGGGACAATTATTAGTACGTGAAAGGATTTCACCAGAGCACAGACAGGGAACTAATTTGAACAGTTATTTTTCAGATGTTTCTTGTTACCTAGACGAGGCAAATTTTTATTTCCCAGTCATTTCTTTGAGATGAACTTCTGTACACATTTTGTCATCTTTAAGACTTCCTGGCTAATATTCAGTGGTAAAAGTACTCCAGTGACTCAAAACAACTGATTCAGCAAACCTCCTGCATGCCAGTCACTTTAAAAAAATAAAAGGTTTTATTTTTAAGCAACAGCGATTTGGGGACTATGGAAATTCTCAGTAGGAACCAGACATCTAATTGTCCGTCTCAAATCCATGAGCTAACATCAGCAGATTTTGACTGCTGACATATTAAAATTCATGATTCAGCGATGGCCATAAACAAGACCTTCCTAAGGCCAGATACATAGATCATAACAAGACCTTTGTGAGAAGTAAACTTCACATCTGCTGGCTACTTGAATTTTTACGCTTTCCTTTGAAATATCAAGTGATTGTCAGCATTTGAGACAAGACATCTGTCTGGAAAGCCTGATCAACTACGTCAGCTCTTCCATTACGATAAAGCACCTCCTGTGTTTTAACTGCATTAGAATAAACCCCTTCACTCCTTTGGCCCAAGTTAGAACTGGACTCTCTTGACCAGTTGTTTACCCACAAAAAAACAGAGAAACACATATGTATACTTTTACGAAAGGAGAAAATATAATCTCTTTATTTTCAGTATACAGACTAAATCCCACCATAAAATATGGATAATGAGTGTGCACACATGAATAAAATACTCCACGCTTTAAAAAAAAAGAGCCCAGCTTTGCCATGTCTGCTTAATCAATTATACGCTATGTGGCATGCAGACCTCTCCCAGTATTGTTTCCAAAAGGGGCTGCAGTGCTCCCATGAGCTGCACACCATCTATTCCAATTCCAAGACGCTCTCAGTTTGCACATAAATGCTACATTTTCCTGTTTGCCTTGAAATACTAGTTAGGTACAATACTATTTCACAATCTCTCTGCTCTCAAATTACGTTGGGTCCCCCTCGACTCTTGCACCGAAGCTACAATTACTTGCACACAGAGGTCCACTCAGCAAGTTAGAGCAATACAAACTCTTCAGGGACACAGAAAGATGGCACACTGTGATCTGCAGCACGTGAATATGCAGCATGGATAGCAAGCCATCAAATACTGGTAAGTTTTACACACGCACATGCACACAAGCACCTCCGTAAAGCTTTCTCCACAGTATGACTCCTTCGCACGCGTTTCGTAGAAAAAGAAAGCCCTTCTCAAATTTAGCCTGTTTCAAATGGCCAACAAAATCTGATTCCGTGTGCTACCAACGTGCGTGTCATTGCTTGCAATACACTGGAGAAGATTTGGACCCCGACAAAAGATTCACTTGCAAAGCACAAAGGTCATCAGCGGCCCCAAAGCGGTTTTACAAATTGATCATTGCAGCTGGTATTTCTCACCATCCTACACCCTCCACACCAGAAGTTGGCCTCAGCACTCTGCAGTTTTAAATGTGCCTCTTTCCATCCTCTAGAAAACGGAACTGAGATTTTCTCTGACTCCAATTTAAATACGCACGAGCAGTCATCATAAAGTGTGTTACAGTTCATTTAAAATCGATCAAGCTAGTCTTTGCTCATTTACCTGAAAAAGGAGTGATCTGGGCTGTAATGGCAAAGGCCATCAGTACCTAGATGTTCTCAACACGCTGAGGAGATATTTTACATTCCCAAAAGTGTGAACACATTCTCCTTGGATTTTCAGGATGCAGATGACCTAGCCCACAGTGAACGGGACCAAAGCGTTTAAGAATCCAGTCTTTGCCTATTGCACATCTAATTGCAACCAAAGGTTATACTGAGTGTCTTTATGGAATAATACAGCAGTTTGGGGGACTTCTAAGCAAACACTGACTCAAAGGCTCAATACGGATTCACAGTGTAATATGGGAATACCAGCTTACTCTAGACCACTAGCCCGTCACTGGCAACAACTGCCTCGATCTTCTCTTAAATTTACATGGTGCAAAATCACTTTCTACACTAAACCATTCTGATTATATCCTTGTTTTACAGCCTCCCTTGCTAACCTAACTCTTCAATTCAGTTCTGACTGCAAACGCCATCTCTAACTTTCCCAGCATCATAAAATTTACAGAATCATTTTCTGCCTACTGGTGCTCCAGACGCAACGTTGCCTATACAAATGTAAAACTAATTCTTCCAGAAGGTCATCTAAAACAGTTCTGTTCTCAAACAGCAGATGGACCGAAGTGGGCTCTAGATTGCAAAGTCTCCAAGCTTCCCATACCACGAAGTGAGGTAGCAACAAACAGCCTTTGAAACAGGATTGCCCAAATATTTTTTCTTAACAATAAATCCCTTTGCCAGACAATTTAGTGAGTGAACTAGAGGCTTCTCTGGAGCAGTGGAAGTAGAAAAAAAGATGGTAAATAAAGGATGAATGAGAAGAACTAGGCCAATGGTTTTTGCAAAGTTTGCCTTTTTGGTACCAGCACTGAGCGCTGCTCTTTCTCAGGTGGAGAGAAATACAAAACATTGCAGTCTCTTTGGGAGCTTAAAGTCCAAGTGACTTCTGCACAATCTGCTTGGCAATTTTGTTAAATTGTTCTCTGTCTTCCCGCCACATCTTGGAGGCATCTACATTGGCTCCACTTTCATCGTTTGGCTCTGAAACGAGAAAGATGGAAAGATAAGTGGGCAGGCAGGCAATTCAGCAAGACTCTCGCTTTTTCAATAATGCCCCTGCACATCCACTCCCCTGTGACTTCAGCACCTTTCCCTGCTTGGGATTATGGAAACACCCTTAAAGGAAATCCAGTTCCAGGCACTGGCTGCCCCAAACAGTTGTTATTTCACTGATCACAAGAGGATATGACAGCAAGGTAGAGTTTAGGTCACAAACAGGTGTCAGAGTAGTAAGATTTTGTTTAATTTTGCTCATGCTCTCAGGAGCTGAGCCCCAGTACGCGCATGGAATAACACAATGTGTCACCAGTGGTGTTGTCAAGGGTTTTTAAAACTGCAAACTGCTCCTCGCAAAATGTTTGTTCTGTTTCTGCAGTTTCCCAGACATAAGGCCCCCATCAGGCCACCCAAACAGGCTCTGACACTCTTTTGGATGGCTTGTTCTATGGAAAAAACATAAAATCCTTTCCTTTCTGCAACTTCTCTCATCTGAGGATTTCAGAGTGCTTTGTGGAGTGCATTAAGCCCCTGTGACTCAAACACTTATTTTTGTACAGAGGTAAGCTAAGGCATGGGGCTTATCAGGCTCGCGGTAAGCGTACAGCAGGACAACTGTCACACGTTTATACAAGTCATTGAGATACAACATAGGCTACCCATTTTATTTCACATGCTAGTCTGAATCCTCCACAGCCCAGTTCATGGTAGACCTCTTGGGCTCGTGTCTTTCTTGACACAACGCAGATAATCTGCCATTAAAAGCCATCAGTGGGAACAGACGCACGAGTCACTCAGTTTGGTGTGCTCAGGGCTTACGCTATCTGCAGAGCCAGAGCTGAGAGTTTGTGAGCAGCTGGAAAGAAGCTGTCTGTATTAGTTCCTCCACAAGCCTTGGGGAATCAGGATGCACAGTCAGAGAACAAGAGCGCAGATGACTTCCCAGTCTAAGTAAGGTTGTACCACAAGCCAAGTTCTTGAAGGCCATGGGCAGCCTAATGAAGCGCTCAGATGTTCATCTGGGTAGCTTCCCAATAGTAGCTTACTGTTCTGAAGCTAAAATGGTCAGCACATAGGAATCTGATGCTTTCTTTTTGTTCAGCTTTGTTGCCTTTAATATCTAAACCTTTATCGCACAAGACTGATTATAAGGGATACACTTCTGTCCTCAGGCAATTCAGTGGCTCTATCAAGAATGTGGAAAAAGACCCATGCCTCAGGGAGATGTACATGACAGATCTGATCTGAATCCTTGCTGGCTTTAGGGAAAGCCCTTTGAGAGGTTACTCAAGAAGTTATTCACCACACCCTTCTTCTCAAGGAGACTTCCTCTAAATCAGAGATGGCAGAACGGGATACATTTCCCAGCCTAGCATACCAACAAACAGAAATGGAGGGAGCTGGTTTGTGAATCACAGGGGCCACAGACTCCAATTTACCATACTGATTAGATCCACCTGATAACCTTTCAGCTGCTAAAGCTAAATCCAACAGAAGCAGTAATCAAAGCTCTAAAAGACCTTCAAGAGCTGAACAGACACCACAGTAGCTGTAAAGCCAGAGCACAGGTTTTGCACAGCAGCAGAGAGCCAGCTGAGCCACAGAACCCACCACCTGACCATCACCATGTAGTTAATTGCTGCAGACTGGGAAGAAATGCAATGCAGTCACCCACAAACCTGGAAACTACCTGTTTACTAATTCAGGCTTGTTATTTTTTTCAATGATTTTCAGAGAATTGGTGTATTAATAAACTAATTAATATTATGTCTTTAGGAACTCTTGGTTGCTGCAGAGGAGAGTGTGGGCATCTTTTGTCTGGTTAACAAATCAACCATCAAGGAGAAGCTCTAGCTATGCCTCAAGAACTGCTACTTAAGCTACCTCTAACAGAGCACCAGTCCTTACCTGCCAGCATGCTAACGACTGACAACAGGATCTTTTCAACGCTCTGCACAGGACTCCACCGCTCAGCACTGCTCTCATATCCCATGGGATCGTCCCCGGGAGCATGGAGAATAGAGATGCAAACTCTCCCATCTGGGTAAACTGTGCAAGAAGCAGAAAGGACTGTTACTCAAGGGAAACACTTGGCCACTCCACATTCGCAGCAGAGATGGATGTTCTGATTCTGCCTTCATCTGACTGATGTTAAATCCAGTTTTAAATGTCTTCTTCCAAAGGCAAGAGCACACAGAACTAGAAAGATAAAAATCTAGCAAAATCTTCCTTTACACAGCTCTAACAAACTAGGGTCATAGTTTCCCAACAGAAGCCTGCTAGGAGCACTCAAATCACTTGATATTGGTGATAGGTTCCTTGAGAAAATATAAGAGATGTCGCTCGTTGGAACAAGCCAAGTATTTATGTGCAGATATAACCCCAAGTAGGTGAGTAGCTCTGCTTAAACCAAAGGGTAACAGTCATACAGCACTGAACATACGTTTGAGTCTTTCACTGGATTGAGTTCATAAAAAGAACCAAGCAAACTTGCGCTGCTGCAGCAGGGTGAGAAAAATGGCATGTTACAAACGAAATAATTGCTTTCGATTTGAACATTACTGAGAGTTCACATCACTTTTTCATTTTTGCTTAAAGCTCAGGTGCATTAAAGCGCACAGAAAAAAGGTAACCTATCAATTAAGGAGACAGATGTCTTCCCCTCCCAGCTTTAACATAAGCAAAGCGCCTGCTGCATCAGTGCAAGTCTTCTCACACGCTGGACAGGCCTCCTTTGACTTGAGAAGGAGGCCAGAGAGAGGTTGAACAGGCAGCACCGAAAGACAACGGAGGTCAAAATGCTGCTTTTGCAACGTGGCCTAATTCAGCAGTGTCCCAAGAAATTACACTTTTACCTAGTACTTTCGCTGCTTGTATTCCTCTGGTGACCAAACCTGTATCTTTGCCAGGAAAAAAAAAAAAAAAAGGTGAATGACCGCTGGAAGCGGTTATGCTTGTTTCCAGATCCTTCCACTCACCCAGCTAATGTCTGTACAAGTCAGGAACATGTAAGTGCTCTGAAAGACTTTTATTATATTTACACCCCCTCCTGCAGCCCCAGGCTGGGGATTGGAGCTGGTCTAGCCATAGCTGGAAGAGATGAAAACAGCACATGCTGAATCAGCATTTCCCCCTGCAAGTTAAAAACACACTGGTAGAAGATACTTCACCTGTAAGTTACTCTAATGTTTCTATGCAGCGTCTCATTTAAAACAGTAGATCACAGAAGCATAGACAAGACAGGAAAGGCCAATTCCAGGAAGAAGTACACATCACCCATTTTGTTGCTAAACGTCAACACAAGACTTCTCATTAATTGCTACTTTGAAGTTATCTTTGCCAAAGCATCCATTGAAACCATTTTATTGTAAGAGAAGAGAATTCCATGGTGTTGCAATTCCCCCTACACACAGCACAAATGCTGCAAGGACAAGAAAATAGGGCATTTAAAAAAAAAAAAAAACAAAAAACAATTCCCTTGCAGTTTCTCACAGATGGCGTAAACATTTAAGGAATGCAAAAAGCACAGCATGGCCGCCATTTCTACAGCCTTTCTTGGTGTAACCAGACCACCTCAATCGCACCCGAGAAGAAAGGTTTGAGCATCTACTTTTGGTGCTCTCAAATTTACATTAACAGCTGAGCATCCCACACGTTCCAGCCAATTCTGTGGAGGAAGTGCCCAGGTGTAGAGACACGCTACAACACGTGACAGTCAGGCAGCGTGAGCTTCTCCGCACCCCATCCTGACTACCAACACCGCAGGCTGCTCATGCAACGCAGCTCCGAGCGGAGATTCTCAAGCCCAGCCCAGAACAAGCAAAGCAGAACATAGCATGGACATGGATTTGCTCATGGAGACCAGTACTGCCAAGAAGTTTGCGTGAGCGAGTCCAGTTGGAGCGACGTGCTGATGTGGCCATACCCCTTCCAGGTGCCAAGCTGCGCTGCTGCAGACATCATAGCGACGTAGGTGACGCTAAACTGCCTTGGGCAGCTTTGCACGGTTCTACACTGCGCAGTGCAGATGTGCCCCCCAGAGGAGAACGGAAAGACAGGCTTGTTTGTGGATTAAATGGGCAAGAATCTGTGTCAGTGGTGTTTTGAGAAGGCAAAAAAAAAAAAAAAAAGAGAGAGAGAGAAACTTCAAGAAATTGCAAAATTCCTTGGAATTGGTTGAAACAAATAGATTCCCAGATGAGATTAAGATTTTTGTCATGCAAGCGCAGGGATGTCGGCTTGGAAGGAAACGCTAGGCAAGAGGGCAGCATTTTCCTTTTATTGCTTTTAGGCTCCTGAGGCCTAAAAGCCTAGAACATGGATGCAGCCCATCAAATCTGGGTGATGATAAACAATCTTTACACAATCAGTGTTGATTTAACAGATGCAATAAGTAACAATTTTACTAAGAACATCAAGGCCTACCCCAGAAAAGAGAGCTCTGGGCTGTAAAGGGAGCTTTTCCACGGAAAAGTCTTAAGATAATGCAGTTGGGATACTGTCATCACCAGAATTGCAGAGACAAGGCCAACAAAATCCTAAAGGCCCACGAATCTGTCAGGTGTTTGGACAGACTCTGTATTTCAGAATGATCACATCAGAGATGTCACCACCCCTGATTTAATGGGAAAAAATATGCTACTAAGTAAAGCTGCATCCAAACTTTAGTCAGTACGAACCAATTTTCACTTGCTAAAATAACACCAGACTACTTAAACACCAGTCACAGAGGAACACTGAGAAGAGTCTTCCCTGACTCTATTATTTTACAAAATCTCATATCATGTACAAAACATTTATCTTTGGACTACTTGTGCAATGGTTTCAAGTATTCTTGGAATGATCTTTAAAGGAAGTCAAACTGCTGTGCTCTTTATCAGACTGTTTATGACCAAAAGATATTTGAAGATTAATATGATAGAGAGAGCAGGACCCTAAGACAGAGCAGAACTGCTGGATGGCCAAACACTCCTACAGCATACTCAAGGTCTGAAAGGAAGTGAACCACTCTTAGTAAGGAATACCAGCTGTCCTGCTGCAAAAGTTGTTTCTTCATGGTGCAAAAGCAACCCACTCCCCCCTCAAATATCCTGCTGCATCAAACTTACTGTTTGGATGGAACATTTCACACGTGAACCTCATCTTCGGAGGACTTAATGGATAGTCGAGTGGAAAGCTGAGAATAGCAGGGAAAACACCATATTCAAAACAGGTGTCTTCAGGACCCCTAGAAACAGACAAAAAGCTATTTACCACAGCACAGTTCTCAATATTTCTTTCACTCAAAGTCTTGTCTAACGACACATCTTAGGTTTGGGCTATATCATCATCTTCTCAAGAAGACAAAGAGTTAACGCGCTCTTACCCTACACCTCATAAACTTAAATCCAAAGACGGGGTGAGGGAGGGAAGGGGGAAATCAAAGCTTGCACACTAAATTACTAGGAAGGTCACAACACTGCTTAATTAGCAGGGTGTGTTTGGATATAATTGGAGTATCTGGCTCCAAGGCATGTTCCAGGATTTGAGAGTCTGCACGTCAAGGGAAAGCACAGGCAGGTGTGGAACTTCTGCGTCTTTGAAGATACTGCTATGCTGCATAGACAGAGATGTCAAATACTGCAGCTCAAAAATAATTTCTAAAACAAGGATTAGACAAGGAGTCATCTAATTGACCTAAGACGATTCATACTGCCAGTATGGAGCATAATCACACAAACACTTATCACTATCTGATGCAAACAAAGCCCAGTAATGTTTTGCAAAAATAAAAACACAACTCAGGGGCTATAATTGCTAGATATAGGACAACATGCTTCTTGACAGGGTTAAGGTATTTAGTTTTCACTCCCTCAAATGCACACTGAGAACAAATGGCTTCATCAGGGTTCTTGTAGAAACATTGTCTTTTGTGTTCATCATGTAGTTCAAAGCGCAATCAAGTGAGAATATAAAGACAATTATTTTACCCTTTCTACACAAAACATACTTGGAAGAGGAGCAAAAGAGTTTATTCGACATGATTTATTCAAACTTGATGAACCATTTGGACTTTATAAAACAAACATCATCTCCCCTGAATGGAAAGATCAGGGAACGAGCTTCATCACCAAAAATCTTAGCCAAGGAAACCTCATGTATTCAGCAGAAAGCTCTTCAAACAAGGGCCACGTTGTCTTGGAAATAAAGCTTAGGAACATACACGTTCTTCCACCTCCCAACCCACAAACACACTCTCCATGCCAGAAAGAACATAAAATTTCTAAGCCAAATGGTCAAAGAGTCCTTAGAGTTAAGACTGCAACAACACCCTAAGGAAACAGAAAGCTGCGACCGACAGAATCCAAAGCCCTAAGAGGCTCACCCTGTTAAATTCTGGGACTCGACAGACTTGGCTGGTAGATCTCAGAGAATCATAAACACAAGCAATAAGCCTTTTAAACCTGAATATTGACATTTGCATGCAAGATCAGAGAAATGCATCATTGTATTGCAAGAATCAAAGCTAAACCATCCCAATCATTTTTGTCTCCTTTCTGGTCTTTCTCCTATTCATTCGGGATTCAATTCTGCATCTGAGAGTAAACTCAAAGTGTATTTTCATAAGCATTTTAATTCCAGCTGCATTTTAAAGGCTTATTGTTGAACTTCTAAGAGTATGTACATACACACATTGAAAAGATGGTGCGTGTCTAATGTCCTCTTTGAGAGCAAACACACAGCCTTAAGGGCTCTTCTGTCAGATACGTTAACCCAATGTGCTCCATTTTTAGGCCCTATATTAAGTGTGGAAACTGCTTTTGTTTTAGCCATTCGTTACTGCCGGGATCAAGTTCAAAGAAATTATTAAAGTTAACCCAAAGCAGCATTTGCAACTACAAATCGCTCAGAAGGGCACAAAATTCAAACCTGACAGCATCCCTTTCACTTCAAATAGGATATCACCAGGACCAAGAAGGTAAAGAGTACAGCACCTTTTGCAATTGCACCACCTGTTCTGTAGAGATTTCAAAGTGCTTCAGATTTCCAAAGCCTTGATGCCTTATGCTATGATCTCATCGGAGCTGCTAGCTGGAGTTCAGAGTACTGAGGATCTGATTAGGATTCCTCCAAGAAAAATCCAGACCGTGCAGAAGTGAAACCTTCCCACTGAGCAAACAGCACTGAGCCAACAGTCCAGTATATTAAGCAAGCACTACCTTAAGCAAAGCTTCCATACCCCTAAAGGAGAGAGCACTTGCTGTCACTAACCATTTGCGCATGGAAGGCACTCATTCTCTAGATGCTTGTGGCAGTAACTCTGTAAGAAATACCTTATCCTAAGGCTGCTCAATCTAAGACTCTCTACAGTTTGCAAAGCAGGCAGTCTTTGCATCTTTTTCCCCACATGATGCTACTGTACAAACTTCAAGCATTGGGGAGGGGACATCATTTCTCCTCTAGCCATTTTATGTGTGGCATAAAAAGACTTGGTAGGCAACCAGGCTGCTTACTGTGTGAGAGAGGCTAGGGATTTGCACAAAACCTAGGAGAGGATCCAAACAGTCCTTCACAATTAACATTTACTTCATTTAGTCCTTTTCAGCCTAAAGGATCACAAAGAAATTTGTAGGTTTCTGTAGTCTAAGAATAGTCCTCCCAACCACCACAGAAGTTCACCTACAAACGGCAATACCACACAAACCATTCAGAGCAGCAGGAACTGAAAAAAGTAACATTCAGTTACGGGTAGGAAAAACGTTAAGTTGTTGGTACTTATACATTCAGATTACATTCTGACCCAGTTCCTGTGAACAGTGCCTTCATCAACCTTTTCTTTATGTTCATATATTTGTTTCTTTCCTATTCTTTATTGTTCCAAGAGACTATGACAAGGACATCCATATGAATATAGGAAGCTAACAAAAAGTTACTCCATTCCCATAGCATACGTGCTACATACAAGGAAGCTGAACTTGAATGCAGAGCAAATCAGGCTATAAAGAAATCTGATGATACGTGACATAACGCGGAGATGAGAAACTCTTAACTCCATGAGCTAGATATTAATTATGAAGGTGGGGGAAGAAAAGCTTGGCAGGTGTCTGCCAAAATAGGAGGGAGAAGCAAATTGATAAGGACAGTTAATTCTATAGTCATACCTTCAAGTACATTTGTAAATGGCTTCTTATTTGTAAAAGAAGCTGGAAAAAGACCAAAACGCACAGTCATCAGATGCCGAAAAGGGGAATTCCACGCTAAACAAAACAAAAGTCATAAGTCTATATATAGATCTAATTACCTTTCTAGACAGGTTTTTTGATAAGATGGCTTCAATTTATACTGTTTATTTTTCAAGCAACCTTTAAACTAATAAACTTCTTAACAATTATGTGGGTTTTTTGTCTTTTGGGGATAAACTTTAATAGCAACACACACTTTCATAAGCCAACATTTTTGAAGTTCATAAGCCTGACCAAAGAGGACAAAACCACTTGGACTTCGAATGTTAAATTCATGAACTTAGACAACACAGTGTAGGTTGCTGGACCCCACGCAGCGCTAAGGAATTAAGCAGTATGTTGATGAACTCTTTTGACATGTTAGGACTATTTATCATCATGAACAAATCACCCTGTTGCAAAGATCTGGTTTTCATAAATACACTAATTAAGCTACTGTTGGATGCCTTATCAAAAGGGTGCATTTTCCATCAGGCTCTAAACCCTTATGATTTAAAAAGACTACCACCACGCTGCATTTTCACTTCTGGATCAAGGCAAATATACACACTTCAGAAGTATAAGAACTGCTCTATCATGCATGCATATCAATATAACCTTCACATTTATGCAATATCCAGCATTACTGCTGCAGGTAAGAACACCAGAAATAGAAATTATTATTACTATTAAAGAGATAATTTTATCTCCAAGCCAAGCTCTTACATCAATCTCTGTAACATTACCCAGCCCACCTCTGGACTGATAAATGGATGATATCTTGGACTTCTCTCTCAGGTCTCATTTTTCCTTATTTGTGTGAGATTATATGTGCTTTACACAAATTGGGGGTAGAGAAGAAAAAAAGTGTTCTGTTTGCTGTTTCCTTAATATGTTCCTTACTTATCTTTTATGCTTCATCTGTCTCAAATCTGAGGATGATCTTGCTTTAACTTGCACTTCTGTTTCATTCCCAGAATTTCACACAGTACATCTGGGATTACAAAACATTCAAGGAGATTATCACAGCCAAATACAAACAAGTTATTTAGCTTGCTTTCCAAACGTACTCAAACATTTTTATTAATAGAGTTTTGTAAAGGGATGAAAGTAACCAAGCATGTTTAGGGACAACATGTTGCTATTGTGCCACAGCTTCAAAATTTAGCAATGTTTAAATATAATTTTATTATGACACACATACACACACACAATGCAGAAACCAAAATTAAAACACCTCCGCCCCTCAGTGCGTGCTGACAAAGACCTCAAGCTCAACATTCAGCACTTGAAAGGGCTTTCAAGTTTGCAAGCCGCTCCTCTGCTGTTTAAGTTTTTGTTACGGGAAACCTGGGAAAAAATGTTTTCTATGTAATGAATTAAATATAAAAGTACTTCTGTGTGTCCTCCATGAAAGCTCTAATCAACCACAAAATCTCTGCTATGAGAAAGTATTGACAGACAGGAACTTCCTTCCACATTCCAAGAAATGCATTAAATCAAAGCAATGCACAGCTTTCTGAATTAAGATTCCTTCCACTATGAAGGTCATGCTTTAAAAAGTGATAACTACCCCATTTCCAGAAAGAAGAGAAAGCATTAGACATTGCAGCCAGTATCTTTGGTGTTGGACAATTAACTACCTATTTCCATGTTAAGTGTTTATCTTCAGGAGAGAGAATTACCTGGAAGTCACAGCTAGTCAAAAATACTTTTGAAATAACAGTACTCTCACAGAGAAAAGAATTCAGACATATGACCTGATTATGTTAAGATAAACTGCTGCATATCAGCAGACACATCTGCAAACTCTTAATACCACTCAGCAAATAAACATTGGCAATCCAGATCCCCTTTTACCAAGGCCTAAAGCAACTCAGAGCCTCACACTTGCCTCAAAGTAAGATCACCTCTACAGCCAGCTTGCACGGAGCAGGTGATCTGGTAACGCTCTTGCGTGGCTTGTGTGCATGCTCCCAAAAGACAGAGTTCTAGCCTATAAACCATTATCCTTTTACCACACCAAGTCTGAAAGCTCAACCTTCACCCTTAGACAACACACTTTAAGTAGAGCTACCAACCAAATCAATCAACTTCTTCCACGCATGATGATCAAGAATCACGTCATTGAGCACTACTGGTTCTGCAGAATACCTTCCAAGACCACAGCAGATACAGCCAGAACAAGGAAACAGCCATGGCTTGCTCCTATCTCTGTCCTCTGCCAGTGTCCCCAGGGACTAGTACAAGGACCACCTGGCCCTGCCTGAAGTCAAGTAAATCACTACCTTTTACTAAAGAATACTTGAAATACAAGCTCCAAATGAGAGCCTCAATTAACTCGAACAGATCACCAGTTTCAAGATAAAGTTAGCAGGCTGGAGCTTCTTGAAGCTTCTTGAACTTGTAAAACTGTGGCATTCGTATAACTTGTCAGAGATCTCTCTTTTTCCCCCCCCCCCCTACTGATTTAGAACTGTAATTTCTAGGAAATCACCAGCTATTCCATGCATTCAAAATTCCCAGGTACATCATGAGTAAGTTAACTGAAAGAGGCTTGTAAGATGTTGGAAAGAAGATTGTCCAGAAGATTACCTCCTTTCCAGTTAAATCTTGCTGCGAACAACTGTACTCATCAGCTTAGGAGTAGTAGTAGGAGGAGAACAAGGCTTTGTAAAGAAGTCTTTGCCACCCCCACAAAATACAACAGCTAGTGAGTCAGAGCTTTCTACATGGAACCACTGCACCTGACAATCCCTTTTCAACATCAGCTGAATCGTGAAGTTTAAAGAATTTTAAAAGATTTTGAAGAATTTTTTAAAGTTTGAATACTTTTGTCAGTTCTATCCCCTTTCATTTTTCTAGAAGAAATTTGAATAAGCAAGCTTATTGTAGATACTGATTTTTTTTCTCCTATCACTGGTAAGCTGTATATTTTGTTCTACTCACAACGTGAGAAAGCCTATTCTATATTTGCAGTTGAACAAGGTTCCCAACAAGTTTGTGCAATCTACAAACAATTTATTGTTTCCTACAGCGTTCATACACATGACGGAATTCAGTGGAGCGCAAATGGTGATTCCTGTAAAATATGAGTTACACATGCCGAATGTTTCTAATTATAATAGCTGTACAAAGCCAGCAAAATAGATCACCACTCAAGCCCAGTAACGCCCCTGTCACAGTTTAAATTCCAGATGGGGTGGACAAGAAGTTCCCAAGCAAAGGCAGGCTGAAGTCGATGTTACGCAGAATTAAGATTTTTTTTTACGTTCTTATTCCCCTGAAAGCTAACCATAGACTACGAGTGCTGATTTCAGATACAAAACAGCATTAACTCACATAATCAGAGCTTCCCACTCAAAGAAGTTCTCTTCGTTCATAGGACCTATAAGGAAAAAAACAAAACAATGTTTAAAGCTACCAGCAGGTAAGGCTACAACTTCACGGTGCACACACTCTGTTCTGTTCCTCACCTGCTACTATCCCTTCTGGTGGATTCAAGGTCAGTTCTGTAGAAAAAAAAACACAGGGAAGGTTAACACGAAGGCACCTCCAAGTCTGAAGGTTTCAGCTGGCAGCTGGATTGCCGCAGCTCAGCACCAAGGCTCCAGAAGCAAACGCTCATGGAGGAAAGCTCAACAATACTGTGGGAAGACTGCTTTGCCATGCTTTACTGGGCAAAACTTCAGAACCAGAAGGCCCAGTTTCTCACTGCTGACGATTTAACTTTTTCATGCAAGGCTTAAGTTTCTAAAGAAAATTATTTGGGGTCTTGTGATTTTTCATGCTCTCAAAATGAGTTTTCCAAGTGGGTAACAATTTAAAACTGGAAGGAAGGAAAGAGAAACTCTCTTTCCACAAAGCATGAGAAACATGTTTCTCCTAGAGCACTGCATGGCATCTGGAGGCGCAAACTCAACAACCTGGAGAAAGGGAGATTTGTATTCCTGTAAGCACTTTGCATCGATTCATCATTGACGGCATCTTAATGCAAACACAAAACGCAACACAAAAAGGTGAAGGAGCAGAAGCACGAGATTTGACAAGTGCCTATGTACCTTGGATCTAACCTGACTCCCTCTGCGTGGCTTGGAAAACACAAGAAAAAAAGAGACCAAACAAACAAAGCAGTCGTGACCACACACAGCAAGTTTCAATTAATCAGCCCTCAGTTTCTGCAGGACGCTGATACAATTCCCAATTCATCAGCTACCGTCAACTGCAGCATCAGTGCCTCACTCCAAGCCTGCTGAAGCACAGCAACCTGCGTGCAGATGAAATAATCGCTATTCCTTTCTACTATCTAGGGTAACGACGATCAACTCTCTTTACTGCCAATCTCTGGAGTCACTCGGGGTGATAACGTTTGTAAGGCAAAGTCCAGCTGGACCCAGGCACATCAAAGATTTGGGGGCTGACCACCAGTTAGGCAGCTCTGAGCTGGAGGCAGAGCAGCCAGCAGGCTAGGCGTGAGGAGGCAGAGGTCCAAGGGTGTCAGATCCGAGGAGGTGACAGTAATTAGGCCAACTTAAGTAAGGGCTCTGAAGCGCTTATCTAGAACATTGTTTCCCAATCGATCCCCTGCAGACGGGTAGCGACCCGTAACACATAAAGAGCAACCGCAGAAAATACAACACAAAATTCCCGTGCGTGTAAACAAGCGTGAACACATAACCAGGGAAAATGAAAGAAGTCAGGAACCAACGAGTGAGACGCTTACCCTAATTCTTATTTGGTTACAAATGAAAACTGCACAAAACAATGCACAGGTTTTTGTCCCAAAACAGTTAAGTGAGATATGCTGACAGGAGAGAGCGAGAGCGCAAAACTCTCCAGCTCCTTTAGCTCGCAGTTAACTTTGGCACAGACCTCTCCTCACCTAAGTTCAGAAGCACAGCAACAGATTGATGTTCAGTGTCACGGTTTCAGACTACATCCCAAATATGAGAATAATGACGTTAAAGAGCAGGTGTTTCCAGCTGGATAGTTGCATCTTTTCAACAGCTTTTCTCGTACATGTTTTTTAAAAAGAAACGGGGAGATGCTGAACTTGGGAGCTCCTGGAACTATTTTGCTCCATCTTGTGGCTGTCTCTATAAAATAATCCTTCTTTAGGAAGATGAAGATTCAATTCTCCACCTCACCTTGCTCATCCCTCCCCTCCAAGAAGAGCAAAAGCGATTTGCATCCTTGAGGGTCAGGCAAAGCAGTAACTGGGAAGTGAAGGGGCACAGTAGCTTCAATTTTGAGTAGTTACTAGGATACCTAGTCATTTAGGAAGGAAAAACTCCTTTTACACGTGCATAGTCACATCCTACTCTGTGATCAGCCAAGGACCACTCAAACTGCAAACACAGCTTTCAAGAGCTACAAAGCTCTCTACAAATTGCCAGTAGTTGGCAAGGTATTAGCTGCTTTAGTCTCACCAGAGCTTCCAAAACAGAAATCAAAACAAGGCAACTTTCAAGGAACGTTGAGGTGAATGCTTGCTGTAAGAAATTGGAATACAACAAGCACGAGATCAGAGCACTTGTTTTATCCTTTCACTGCAGGAAGATTACAGCAAGTCAGCTAGGGCCAAAGAGCTTCCTACTCCATTCTCAGGATCTTCAGTCATCCAGTCCCTCTACAAGTTCTCAGGAAGCAAGAGGGGACAACAGAAGCAGAGCAGCAGATCTTATAGTCCTCCCTTCTCCGCCACACCCGGTCCAGGAGGTTAACGTTAAGTCACCTTTAGTTTAGCCTTCTGGACTGAAAGTCTCCACTACATGCATGGTTTAATACTTTCTCAGGGAAAGCTATTCCCCTGTAGGAAGTGCCATGCCTTGCTGTCCTCTTACCTGTCTCACCCATGACAGCAGCACGTTGGTGCACATCCATACACCAGCCACCATCACCTAAATTCCTCCCACACGGACATCTTGCTCTGTTCCTGCTTGTGCCATTTCTGAATAATGGCCAGGAGCAGTTGCCTGACCTCTCTCCCCATGCTGAGCACGGATAACATCTGTCACAAGGCACTTTAGGCAAAAATGAGAGGGGATCCTGACGCTACAACAGTTATTCCAGAAAGATGGCCTGAACAAACCAAGAACCACCTCCCCAGATCCCCTTTTCTCTAAGGAGCAAGACCAACAGCAAGACTTTGCAGGAGCTCTTGGTGCTGCAGCTCCTTGCCCATGGTTAACTGGTGACTACAGGTCCAGGAGAAAAACCTCAGACGAGTGGAACCTCATGAACCTTGGGACAACTGGAGCTGAGCTTTCAGACGCAGGGGGCCCCGGCAAGGCCCTCCTGCCATGAGCTAGCACCACAGCTCTCTCATCCCCACCTGCAACTTTGGGACCTGACAAGGATTCAAGGGAGCAGCTATCATCCCGCAGAGCATCACAGCTGCCATCACTGGGTGGTTAACCTGTTTGTGCCACCATCTTCCCATGCTTGAATTTTACACAGCGCTAATCACCAGTGTTACAATCAACAGGATCCATGGGATTAACAGCATGCTGACACCACCCTTCGATTATCCTACCACCAGGCAAGCTTTCAGGCTTCTCATGGGATAAGTTTGTCAGCAGCAATGTCCTCCTAGGACCTCTGAGAGGCTGAAGGACTAGCAGACAATTTGGACAAAGGTTCAAATGGGAAGTCAGAGTTTCAAAAGGGTGTGAAAGAGGCAAAGGGAAAGGCTAGCATGACAAGAAAAGTCTCTGTGGAATACAAAGGAGCAACAGAGTCACAAGGAGGAGTTGAGGCTGGTAGAAAGGCAGGCAGATAATGCACTAGGCCATGTATAAATACATGATGAGAACGGCTTCAGGGTGTCACTGGGAGTTTGGGGACTGCAGAGCTTTCTGCTCAGACGTGTGTGTTAGGTGCACGCTGGAGGAGCCCACAGTGATTTAGAACAACATCTCTGTCAAGCACTGGAGAGCATTTGGAGCAGAGCTTCCAGTTTCAAATCCTCCACAAGGCATCTCATTTGGTTTCATTTGATTTGCAAGGTGTTTTTGCTGCATGCAGTTTAGGAGACTTGCTTCCAAACCCAAACACAATGAAGTCCCAGCCTGTAAGACAGGAGCTACACTTTAAAGTAAAGCTTTGCTTTTAAGCTGAGCCTGAGTGAAATGGAGAACCTGACACTACTGAAGTGTACTACTGCTATGAGGAACTCAAGACAGCTTTGAGTGTGCAAACAATCAATGCTTCCATTTCATTTCATTGCTCACTATGGAATCATTACACACCACCGAACGCCTTGGCAAAAAGGAGGAGAACTGAAACATGTCCTTTGTGAATATATATAAATCTTCTTTTAAACTAGTTCTGGCAGTGTACAAAAATAGATATGCACAGCAAAAAATCAATACACTCCAAAATGTGAATAAAGATCTAAACAAGGACAAAAAAATTAATCTATCTCCCCTGGCTACCCACAGTGTTTTACCCATCTTCCATTTAACAGCATCTCCCCAAAGGAAATAATAATATGTTTGGCCTCCGACAGGTTGAAAGTCCTCACAGAGTAAAGCATCTTTCACAGGAGGTAAAAATAAACAGATCTAAACACAGATACACACAGAAAAATCAAAGGCCAAAACTGAAAACAAATAAATAAGGGAAGAATTAGAGAACGGTTAATCAAAATACACCTATCAGCAAGGCGCTGATTGCCAACCTATTTCTGCCACAACTAGGAATAACTAAAGGGAAGAGGTAGGGAAGGAGAGAAAGAAAAAAAAGATTTTGTGGGGACACATGCACACACACAGACACAAACATATATAGTCAACAGTCCTGACGCCTCCTAATTAGTTTATAAAAAAGCAGCAAAAGGTAGCAGAATTATCTACTTAAGGCTAGGAAACATTTTTACTTTTTTCAAAATATTTTCACTGAAAATCTCTACAAGGTAGAACAATTTCTGAAGAGCTACAACTGGTCTCTTGCAATATACTCAGAAAGGGTTATACTTTAGGCTTGATTCTGTGTTTTGCAGCACAGTTTGACAAAACACCCATTAAAAGAACGAAACGTAATCCTAGAATCGCACATATAATACAGGGTATTCCAGACAGCAGCAGAAACTGAAAAGTTGGGCTTACTCTGCTTCCCTAACTCAAGCCTCCAGAAGTAAGAAGCACCGTACAGTTAGTCATCGTAGGTTACATTCATATTTCATAACAGTTTATTTGATTAAAGTTGGGAAACTAAAAAACAAGGTCACAAACAAGATGTTATCTCAGTTCATGATAAGAGTTACACGAGCAACTATTCAGGGATGATTCATATAATGCTTTCCTGTAACATTAAGCCCAATTCTTTCTGATGCTACAAAACATCATTTTTCCCTGAACAATTCATTCATATGAGACATTCTAATAAGATCTCAGAGCTTCGCAACAACAGAGGGTCAAAAATGCTTTTGGGGACTGAGGGGGTTTATTGAAGCGAACAGATAAAAGCAGGGCCAAGTCTTCTTGCTGCTGGCTTTCAGGTCAGTGCTTCTGGATGATAATAGAAAAATCCAGGTTTCTAGAACACTGCATCAGCACAAGCTTAACCTGTACAATGGCAACAAAAGGGCTCCGCTCGTTCCCACGAGCGACCGCCATCCATGCGGCGGTGGTCCCATTCTGGCCCTGGCCCGCACAAATGCCTGCGCGATGCTAACTTTAGAGACATGCGCGCCGCAGACCGGGTCGAGAACACCCACGACGCTGTGTCAGGAAGTATGCCTCTAGAAAGACACCCTGCTGTTTTACAGAGACTGAAGATAATTCTTCCTCCAAATGATGGTACAGTGAGAAACAATTCCTCCTCCCCAGCCAAACTTTGGAAGCCCTGAAAACAATCTTCACTGAACTACGAAGCAGGAGGCCAGTTCTTACAGCCTAATGCCATCTTTCACCTAGCAAAGCTACTACCTCACAACCTGGGATTTTTTTCTATTCTGCTTCCTTGCCTTACATAAAAGCCATAAGTTCAAAAACTGAAAACAACTAGGTAAACAAAAAACAAATCGCATTTCTTGCAAACGAAAGTCACCTTACAGGCACCTCACAAGCACACAGGTAAGGAGATTATTCGTATTGGCCTTGCAGAAATCAGATGAGCCTCAGTAGTCCTACAGTTCCCGTACAAGCAGCAAGATGAAATAGCCTTATTGCTCCCTCTGGTGGGATTAGCAGGACGAATACCAGTCACTTGGCACAGCAAATTTCTCCAACTGGGACTCACACCTCAAACAGACTTTTAACAAACAAAAAAGTCTATGTCTTTCAACACTGAATTCTAGCTTAAATGCTTTTCCTACCTGCAGCAATGCCATTAAGCTCTCGACTAAGCATCTAATTCTCTCTCACGTAACAAAGCTACGAGATAGAGGCTTCCTTGGCTGCATTTTGTTCCACCTGGAAAACATAACTTGGCAAAAATAAAAAGATTTGACTGCTTGCCTAGGATTTCCAGACCTCCCCCATGACTGAGCTCCCCATACTAAGAAATCCCAGGCACATGTCAGCTGTGCATAAACTACCTCTCAATTTCATAGCTTAAACAGCTAACACGTATACCAGCCAAGTCCAACACAGCGTGTTGGCAGTGCCGTTCACACGCAGACTCAGTGCTTGGGACAGTCTCCCACACAGGCCTGTGATTTGCAGAAGTAGAGAAGAGCAAGAACAACTTGCACGTGGCCGAAAACACCAAATAAAGAGGAAAGCCGTTTTAATCGTTCGCTGCTTCCCTCTTTGGTTTTAAGCAGGATCGTGCCAGAACGGGCAGCAGGGAGGATGGGGCCACGACTGAGGAGGTCCCAGGGCCCAGCACTATCCCCCAGTGCTGTCCCCACCCCACAGAGCTGCCTCCCTTCCTCCCCTCACCAAGCATTGTCCTCCCTGAGTCCCCCCTGCTCCCCACAGCTGCCCCCTCCCAGGGCTGCCTCCACCCCATGGACAACCCCCACCCAAGGCTGTCCGCCACCCCACAGCCACCCCCTACCCCACAGCAGCCTCCTAGAACTGTCCCACAGCCACTCCCCACCCAAGGCTGTCCCCTGCCCCACAGCCATCCCCACCCAAGGCTGCTC